ACTCCCAACCTCAGGTGATCCACCTGCCTCAGCCTCCCAAACTGTTGGGATTACAGGTGTGAGCCGCCATGCCTGGCCAGCAATAACTTTTATGATAAGAAAGACAAAATGTTTGGCTGATCATGGGAGTAAGAGTTGCATTTGCCCAGATAGCGACCTGGGTGACACATTCCAGGGGGAAGCCTTTCCTTGGAGTTTTTTCTTGGAAGCCCTGGGCTCCCCTTTACCCACCTCTGCAGTCCTGTGCCCGCTCCCTTCTCTGTCCCAACTCTCCGATCTTGGTACAGGTAGCTTTCCTGGCCCATTGCCTGTCCTCGGTGCCCACTGTCCATGTAATCACATACTTCTCATATTTTAACTTTATTTCCTTGTAGCTACTTACTTTTAAATTCATTTACCATTTTTGTTTTACCTCAGAAGTTTACTAACTGTTGCAATTAATTAATAATTTTTTGAGACAGGGTTGCCCAGGCTGGAGTGCAGTGACACAAACGAGGCTCACTGCAGCCTCAACCTCCTGGCCTCAAGCGATCCTCCTGCCTCAGCCTCCCTAGTAGCTGGGACTGCAGGTATGTGCCACCACACTCGGCTAATTTTCAATTTTTTTGTCAAGATACAGTCTCGCTATGTTGCCAGGTTGGTCTCAAATTCCTGGGCTCAAGTGATCCTCCTGCCTCGGCCTCCCAAAGTGCTGGGATTATAGGCAGGAGCCACCATGCCCAGCCACTTGCTGCAATCTAAAAAGTGAACCACAATAAAGCAAAGTCAGCGGAGACAAGAAGGCAAGGAATTGAGCTTGCTGGTAAAAACTTGTTCCATTCCATCCATTGGTAAGATTTGGTCAAACTTGATTTTTTCCATCATGCCTTTTTTCTCCCCTTGGTGCCTTTAGGTAGGAGAATATCTGATGTAAGCCACAGAGTTTTACTCACAAATAGCACATCAGAAGTCTGGAGATTGGCAGTCCCAGAGGTGGTTCATACACTGCTTCCACCATGTCAGGAACCTGGATGGGCTGCTCTTGGCTTTCCCTTTTCTGGTGCCAGCTCTGTGCAGCTGCAGAACAGAGCACCAGGTCCTCACAAGGCAACGTCCAAGCTAGGAGGCAGGGAGAGCGCTCTCCTATCAGGGAGGAGTATCTTTTCCCAGGTGTCCCGGATCTGAGTCGAATCACATGCCTGCCTCAAAGGAGCAAAGAAGGAATGAGATTTCCATGATTCATTCAGCTCAACTGTGATTCATTCCAGGGCACCAGACATAAAGCCAGATGCGACCTGAACACAACTGGCATTCAGCTAGCAAGAAAGAGGTGTGGAATGGAATGGCTGTTAGGAAAGCCAACCATGGCCTCTGTCACCCAGTTGCTCCCTGGGTGCTCACTTCAGAACTGGCATTCAAGTGATAACACCAATGCTCAGTATCTCATAGCATTTTGCAGTTTGCAAAGCTTTCATGTACATTGTTTCATTCGATTCTCACCACCACCGTGAGAGATGCAAGAACAGTTGTGCTTCTCTTTCTTGGACAGAGAGGGAGACTGAGGACTGTAGGCAGCGAGTGATTCACCCATGGTTTTGCAGCTTCTCAGAGCTAGAAATAGAACAAGGCTTGACATGGACGTCCAATATCTTTTCTATAATTTCTTCCAATGAGTGCGTGTGGAATATTACTGGCAACTCATAGATGTAAGTTGCTCTGTAAGTTCTGTGTGACTTTCCTCCATGGGCTGATGCCCTACGTGCTCCCAACAGATGTAGCGTGATGGGTGCTGTGTGGCTGAGCAGAGGCAGCTGCGGAGGAGTGCGTGGTGAGACATTTTTACAAGACATGTCTTGTGCAAACTAAGCAGTGCCTGGAATGAGGATGGTGTCCTGTGCTGAAGCAGCAGATGGAGGCTGCAGATGTGTGAAGGCTGCGTTCTGCCCACGTGGAATACAAGAGCTCCACAAGGCATCGTGGCTGTCCAACTTCCTGTCAGAATTGGCACTGAAAGGAGTGCCAGCTCCTAGCTTACACTTGATTTAAACCAAATAAGAGAGAGGAGATGGCTTTAAGGAAGCATCTGGGTGCACGGACAGCAGAGAAAAGCAGGAGATTGAAGGCAGTGAGAGTTCCCAGGATTTACAAACGGATCCCCTTGTCATTGCTTGTTATCTGGTCCCATGTCTGGTCCCCACCTCACGGTCAGCTGAAAAGCTGTCTGATAATGCGCTCTGGCAGGTATTGCTAGCAGCATGCTATGTTGAAAACTCCTTTTGGAAAATAGTTTGGAAATATATATGATATGTGAAAATGTAAGACCACTGAAACCATGGACCCCATTCTTGAGACTTCATATTAAGAAATAACTAAAATAAAGGAAATAATTAAAATGAAGGAGGCTAGGTGCAGTGGCTCACATCTGTCACCCCAGCACTTTGGGAGACTGAAGCGGGCAGATCACTTAAGGCTGGGAGTTTGGGACCAGCTTGGCAAACATGGAGAAACTGCATCTCTACTAAAATACAAAATTAGCCTGATGTGGTGGTGTGTACCTGTAATCCCAGCTACCCAAGAGGCTAAAGCATGAGAATCATTTGAACCAAGGAGGCGGAGGCTGCAGTGAGCCGAGATTGCACCACTGTGCTCCAGCCTGGGCAGCAGAGAGAGACTCCATCTCATAAACGAAACGAAACTAAACTAATGTAATAAAATGAAGGAAAACATCCATAGGTATGGCGATGGCTGTTATTTTGTTGTGCGTATGCAAGTGAAGAGTTGGAAGCAACCTAAGCCTTCAACAGCAGCGACCCTGTGGTCTACTTGATGGAGTCTAAGCCATGTTAACAAGCAGAATTATGAAGAGGGTGATGCATTCAACAAATATTTATCGAATGCCTCTACTAGGCCAAGCGCTGTGTTACAGACGGAAACAGTGAACAAAGCAGTGCAAGCCACGCCTCCTCCCAGCTGATGCTCTAGTGTGAACGGCAAAGGAGAGCTGATGCAACTAGAAAAAGGTGCAGACTCAGAGTTAAGTGAAAAACGCAGAGGAGAAAAATTACACCTATCACGTGACTCTTTCCATACAATGTGTTCAATTCCATGAGCAAGGATTGAAAGGAAACAAGGGGCCGGGCGTGGTGGCTCAAGCCTGTAATCCCAGCACTTTGGGAGGCCGAGGCGGGTGGATCACGAGGTCATGAGATCGAGACCATCCTGGTCAACATGGTGAAACCCAGTCTCTACTAAAGATACAAAAAATTAGCTGGGCGTGGTGGCACGTGCCTGTAGTCCCAGCTACTCAGGAGGCTGAGGCAGGAGAATTGCCTGAACCCAGGAGGCGGAGGTTGTGGTGAGCCGAGATCGCACCATTGCACTCCAGCCTGGGTAACAAGAGTGAAACTCAGTCTCAAAAAAAAAAAGAAAGGAAACACAGATAAATACAGCCAGCTGATGGGTGCTGTGGCTCCGAACCAGTTTCTTTCCTTTATTCTTCTTCTAATGTCTTTAGTGCAATATTTTTTTAAAAATCAAAACAAGAAAAATATCTGATACTTTTATCATGTGCTCTCCTGTTTCAAAAGAGGTATATTTATCCAACTTTGTAGAAGCCAAAGAAAAAAATATCATAAAAACATGTTTGTTGAAAGAAGGGAAGGCTGGGTGTCGTGGCTCACATCTGTAATCCCAGCACTTTTGGAGGCTGAGGTGAGAGGAGTTCGCTTGAGTCCAGGAGTTCGAGAACAGTGTAGGCAACACAGGAGATCCTATCTGTACAAAACATTAAACAATTAGCCAGGTGTGGTGGCGCATGCCTGTGGTCCCAGCTACTCGGGAGGCTGAAGTGGGAGGATAGCTCGAGCCCAGTAGGTGGAGACTGCAGTGAGTTGTGCTCATCTCACTGCACTCCAACCTGTATAACAGAATGAGACCCTACACCCGAATCCCCAGAAAAAAGGAAGAAGGGAGGAAGGAAGGAAAAGAGAAGGGAAGGGAGGGAAATGGACAGATGTAGCTTTTGTGTTTATTTTAGGCTTTAATCTGAGCCCTTTTTTCTGCACACTTATCTCTCTAGGTTCCAAGCCCATGAGAATGAAATGAAAGGTCTAAAATATCATTCTGATTTGTTTTTGCAAATGATTCCGTGTATATCGTCACCACTGTAGTTCACTTGAGATCTAGTAAAGGCAAATTCTCTAAACATCTACAAAAACATCAAGTATCTGGGGACCTCCTGCAGCCAAATTGTATTATAACCTCTAAATTCTTTTTTTTTTTTTTTTTTTTTTTTGAGACGGAGTTTCGCTCTTGTTACCCAGGCTGGAGTGCAATGGCGCGATCTCAGCTCATCTCCACCTCCTGGGTTCAGGCAATTCTCCTGCCTCAGCCTCCTGAGTAGCTGGGATTACAGGCACGCGCAACCATGACCAGCTAATTTTTTGTATTTTTAATAGAGACAGGGTTTCACCATGTTGACCAGGATGGTCTCAATCTCTTGACCTCGTGATCCACCGGCCTCAGCCTCCCAAAGTGCTGGGATTACAGGCATAAGCCACCGTGCCTGGTTTTTTTTTTTTTTTTTTTGAGAAGGAGTCTTACTCTGTTACCAGGCTGGAGTGCAGTGGCATGATCTCGGCTCACTGCAACCTCTGCCTCCCAGGTTCAAGTGATTCTCCTACCTCAGTCTCCCGAGTAGCTGGGACTACAGGCACCTGCCACCACGCCTGGCTAATTTTTGTATTTTTAGTAGAGGCAGGGTTTCACCATGTTGGCCAGGATGGTTTCAATCTCTTGACCTTGTGATCTGCCCACCTCGGCCTCCCAAAGTGCTGGGATTACAGGCGTGAGTCACAGCGCCTGGCCATAACCTCTAACTGTAAACTGTTTTCATAAGTACCTACTGTCTAAGTCCCAACCACCCATCCAGCTAGACGCAGGTGGCTCTATGTAGACTTTACTGTTGTAGGAAGACTGTGCTGTGTATTTCTTTTAAAACACTTTCTTTTCTTGTTTTCCAGATCCAGTGGGCAGAGTCCAGGGCACTTTTGGTAAAGAGGTAGAATTATGAAGCCCTTTTTTGCTGCTCCCTATGTTTTCTACCATCTGCTTCCATATTCCAGCTAGTTAGATTCCACCTGCTGCTTCAGCCATGTCATTTGTCTTCAGCTCCTGCCCTGGGCTCCTCTGTGACATTGCCCTGAACCGAACAGCTGTTGTTTCAGGACAGGCTGCATTTCTGTGAGTACAAGATGGTCTTTGCAGGTGGCTGGTACATGAATTTTAAGCTTGTTGAGTGCTTTGAGATAGGAAGCTAAAAATACATGTGAGAGGTGTGTGTGTATGTGTGTGTTTGTGTGTGTGTGTGTGTGAGAGAGAGATTATTCTTTGTACAAAGAAAACGTGGCAAGGGGTTAATGCTGCTGATGTTGCTGAGTCATCACAATCAAATACTGTTTATCAAGCTTCCTTCATATCAGTAATGTCAAGGGCTTGCAGATTCTTATAAGACAAGGGCTGGTTTCTCTTTTCCTCCTCTCCCTGTACTCAACCTTCAACATCATTCCACCCTTCCACCTCTTGCCTGAGCAGTTTTGTACTGGTTTTTGGACTAAGACTTGCATACTCAATGTTTCGAAGAACAGGAGTGCTGTGGTCAAAGAGGCATGTCCTAACCCGCAAAGCACACACCCTCACACCTTCTCAAAGAATACGACAGACATCACTTGAGCCTCTCTAAGGAAGCCCTGAAATGGTGTATCATCCTCTCTCATGGGGAGGATATTAAATACAAGTAGAGGGGTTCTGCTTTCAATAATGTCTTAGAGACTCCTTCCAATAAAGCCTTGTGGTGGCGCTAGAGATGCAGCACTAGATCCCCCTGTTGCAGGTGTGGAGAATCCCCTCACCTGCTGGAAGTGTGTAGGCAGACAGGAAGGCCACATCCAGTGATTGATCATGGCAGGGATATAAAGGCCGGTCTACTTTGGACCAACATGGGACAGACAACATGGGCCATGTTAGTTCCAGCACTCCTCATGGGTAATCTGTCACTAGCCCTACATCAATCTGAACTCCTCTCTGCCCAATCCTGCTTCTGTCTCCTTCTTGATACAGCTGTTAACCCAAGGGCCCTCCGTGAGAAATATTTAACCCTGCCTACTATGCACCTCGCTGTCTGCTTCCTGGAGAGCCCAATCTGCAATGATTGATTCTAGAAATGACTCAAGAAAGAGAAGATGGCTGGGCATAGTGGCTCGTGCCTACAATCACAGCATGTTGGGAGGCTAAGGTGGGAAGATCACTTGAAGCCAGGAGTTTAAGAACAGCCTGGGCAACATAGTGAGACCTTGTATGTATTAAATTTTTTTTTTAGAAATTAGTTGGACATGGTAGTGCGCTCCTGTAGTCTCAATTACTCAGGAGGCTGAGGCAAAAAGATCTCTCAAACCCAGGAGTTTGAGGCTACAGTGAGCTATGTTTGTGCCACTGCATTCTAGCCTGGGTGACAGAGTGAGACCTTGTTAAAAAGGAGAGAAGGTAGGGGGAGAGGGATGGAAGAAAGAAATGAAGAAAAAGAAAGAAAGGAAGGAAGGAGAGATACACAGAGAGAAAGGAAGGAAGGGAGTGAGGGAAGGAAGGAAGGAATAAAGAAGGAGGGAGGGAGGGAGAGAGGGAAGGAGGGAAAGCAAGTGTTAGATGAAATTTGAGATGAATCGCTCCCTGGCTGGCAATGAGGAACCTGTGGCTGGTGGTCAGTGGAGCAAAGACAGGCCTGGCACAATGTGGTGACCCAGTTGTTATGGCTTGTCGCTCTACTGAATGGTAGGCCAGAGGCAAGGAATGTTCTAGCTGGTGGAGGTATCTGGCATTTTAGGAATATGTGGAAATGGTAACTACAAGGACAACAGAATTGGGGAGCCACTGATGATCTGGAAGAAAGGGATGAAAGGCTAAGTGTATTACGAAGCTCTTATATTTTCCAGGAGGAGGACAGAGAAAGCTCAGGACAAGGCACAGGACTTCATTGTCAGCGTGGCAGAACTCCAGAGAGTTCTTGTGCATGAATGTTCATTGCAGCATTCTTTACAATTGCCAAAAGGTGGAAACAGCCCAAACGTCCATCACTGAACTGATGGATATCAAAACATATATCCACACCGCATGTGAAATACGATTTAGTCATAAAAGGAATGAAGTGCTGACACATGCTCCATGGTCAGACCTTGAAAACACAATGTTAAGTGAAAGAAGGCAGTCTCAAGAGTCCAGATATTATATATTCCATTCATATAAAAGTCCAGAAGAGGGAAATCTATAGAGACAGTAGATTTGTGGTTGCTTAGGGCTAGGGGTGGGCTAAGTCATAGAGATAGGTGAATGATAGCTAAAAGCAGTGAGTTTTCTTTTAAAGGTGATGAAAATGTTCTAATTTTAACCACAGTTAAAATGACTCCATGAATATACTAGAAAATAGTGAATTGAATGCATTAAATGAGTGACTTGGATGATATATGTAAGGTATATCTCAATAACGTTATTTAAAAAATAAAGGTTGGGCTGGGCGCAGTGCCTCATGCCTGTAATCCCAGCACTTTGGGAGGTTGAGGCGGATGGATCATGAGGTCAGGAGTTCGAGACCAGCCTGACCAACAGAGTGAAACCCTGTCTCTACTAAAAATACAAAAATTAGCCAGGCGTGTTGGCATGCACCTGTAGTCCCAGTTACTTAGGAGGCTGAGGCAAGAGAATCGCTTGAACCTGGGAGGCGGGGGTTGCAGTGAGCCAAGATCACACCACTGTACTCCAACCTCGGTGACAGAGCGAGACTCTGTCTCAAAATAAATACATACATAAATACATAAATAATAATAACAAAGGTGGGAATACCTAGGTGCAGACACCTTACAATACTAAATGGCAGGGGGCTGGGGGAAGAGGCCTTCTGCTGGTAATTGAGGCAAAACTCTCACCTCCATGGAGCAGCAAGACTCGCTCCCTCAGCCACGCAGAGTTCTCTTAAGATGATCTGACTGTTGATGGATAAATGCTGTCATTCATTGACATACCAGTTGACACACTGCAACAAAAATCACTGTGATGAGGGCAGAAAAAGTAAGTTCTACTAGATTCACCAAATCAATGACAAATGAGCAAGTCTACTTTCATAGCTGGGCAGACCTTTATAAAGCAAGCTGAGCACATTTCCATCAGGCCAGGCTGAGTCAGACTTTTCCAGCCATTGTGCGTCTCTACCGCTGCTTTCTGTCACCTCTTAAAGGGCATCAGAGGTTATTCCACAGAGGCGAAATTCCTGGTGACATATTTCTGGGAGACACATGATAAGGAGCCAGAGATTTCTGGTTATAGAATTGCCTCTGCCACCAAAGGCTGAAGATCTTTTGGAAATTCATTTAACTAAATGCGGAAAATTTCATTTTTTTTTTCCATCTAAAAACGCAGAGGGTGTACTCTGTGGTAACCTAACCTCTTGCAATGAGGATATTCTAGATGCTATTTTATGGGATACCTGAGAGCCTTTTGGTCTGATTCTGGATTTCAGGCTGAAATTCTACAGAGTACAATAACTGTGTAGTTGAATGTCATATTCTAAGACTGAGTTGAGCATCATCTGCCAAAAAGGGTCCTTCTGGCTTTGTTCTTATGGGAAGTCAGGAGCAGTGAGTGGTCCTATTATGTGGTTCTGGCACTCGGCTTTCCTAAGCTTTCATCTTGGAGAGGACTCTGGATCCCATCACCGCCCTCCATTAGAAGCTCTTCCAGCAGAATTGCCAAAGACCTCATCATTTCCAATAGCCTTTTAGTAGTTATTACCTTCTCTGTGGTAACATTTAATACCCTTATACCCCATGTTGTCTACAAAGCTCTCCCATTCTATGACTTCATGATGTTTTTTGTCTTTCTGCTACTCTGCTTCTTCTGGAACACACTTTGTCTGTCTCATGGGTCCTTCTGTGTTGTCCTCGCTTTGGAGTGGACATCCTTCCCTGTCTTCCCTTGGCCTTCGTCTCTCCCTTCTCCACTGGCTTCTTCAGGGAGATGACTCACTCTCACAACTTCAGCTGTTATTTTTGTGTCTCTCTGTCCTGGAACACATCTCCACCTCTGACCACGTTCTGGAATTGTAAGTTTCTAATGGCTTGCTGAACATCATCACTTGAATGTCCTGCCAATGCACTGAATTCAGCATACTCAAAATAGACCTTGTCTTTGTCCCCAAAGTGGTTCTGTTTCCTAACTAGCGTTTCCCAGGCACCTGGTGTCAAAACTCCCAAGGCATCCATTGATTACCATGGACACCTCCCCTACCCTCAGATCCCATATTGGGTCTGGTCTTCACAGTGTCTTGGCAACCTCTTAACTTTTGGATCTTCTGTGCCCCACTCAGTGGTAGACTTGCAGCTCTCATCCTCCCTTTCTCATGCCGTTGGGTATGAGAAAGTTTCCCTGATGGTGCTCTAGCTTCCATCCCCTCAGCCTCTTCGGCAAACGTCTCCATTGTTGCTGGCATTGCGTGCTTCTCTCCTCACTCTTCAGACTTTGTGTTTACATCAGTATTGTAATATCCTTCATGTCTGTGGAGAACAAGTTATCTATGCACTTATTTATTTTTCAGAGAAAAGGTCTCTGTCATCTAGGCTGGAGTGCAATGGCATGATCATGGCTTACTGTAACCTTGACCTCCTGGGCTCAAGCAATCCTCTAGACTCAGCCTCTTGAGTAGCTAGGACTATGGGTGTGTGCTACCATGCCTGGCTAAGTTTTATATTTTTTTGTAGAGATGGGGTCTTGCTATATTGCCCATTCTGGTCTTGAACTCTTGGCTTCCAGCAATCCTCTTACCTCAGCCTCCCAAAGTGCTGGGATTATAGGCATCAACCACTATGCCTGGCCTATATATCAACCTCTTCCTCCCATTAGCTTATGTTTAATTAAAATATTATTCACATACCATAAACTCTACCTTTCAAAAATACATGATTGAGTGGTTTTCAGTATACTCACAAGGTCCTGCAACCATCGCCACCATCTAGTCCCAGAACATTTTCATCATTCCAAAAAGAAATCCTGTACCATTTAGCAGTCTTTTCCCATTCTTCCCTTTTCCCAGCTCCTGGCAAACACTAATTGATTCTTTGTCTCGGTGCATTTGCCTATTCTGGATATTTCATATGAATGCAATCATACAACACGGTCCTTTGTGGCTGGCTTCTTTCACT